AAACATGTAAGAGTCTGATGTAGAAGTGAATGAGAGTTCTCTTTTTGACAGAAATCTTGTTCTCTTACAGAGATTCCCCTGTTTCACGTGCTGAATGCCCGAATTACATTTGCAAATGTCAACAGCTGCAGGACAGCTGAGAAAAGCTCCTCACAGATGGCTGGAGGTGCACAGTGTGAAGCAGGTAAGGAGTGGAAAGGCAGTGAACCCTCCTTTTTACATCTCTGTCAGTGGAATGCACCGAGGGAAGAGATGAGAAGTGGCAGGGAATGAAACATTGACAGGTGAGGGGGAGCTGCACTGTGTTACACAGCATGTGACACTGATCCTGCTGACCCATCCTGCCACTTCCATGCCTGCCAGACTGGCTAAACCCCACTTCAGAAAGCTCTCCTCAGTGTTTTGAGCTGTAAATTCTGGTGCAGGTTATTGCTGTGGGAGGTGGAATTCAAAATTGCTGTAAGTGGCTTCAGAAGGAAGTTGATTACATTTGAGTAAGATGCTCATGGCTGTGTATATCCAGTGATCCTCTGTCCTGTGAGCTGCTGCAGGTCCATTCATGAGGAGTAACTTCAGAAGAGCCACTGTAGAATTTATTTTTTGTATCTTTTCTCCCTACCCATCTGGCTTTGTCAGAGTTCAGGCACCTCAGCGCTCTGCTGCACCATAGCTTTATTAGGTGTATCACTTCCCAGCATCCTGAAAAAGGACTCTGCACTCTGTTTTGGTTTGCCACAGGCTTTCAAAGCCTTTTGGTGTATTTAGCCAGGCGGTTTATCTGGATTTTTGCACTTAAATTATGCATAAACATTCATCAGAATTCTTTATGCCACGTTTGTAACTGTGTTTGGCTTCTGTAGGTGCTGGTTTCGAGGTGGACCAGTCGGTGTTTGAGATCCCAGAGTCCTACCACGTCCAGGACGATGGCAGGAACATACACGTGCCGGATGAAGATTATGAGATCATGCAGTTTGCCATCCAGCAGAGCTTGTTGGAATCTGGTGGAAGTAGAGTAAGTGTGCTGGAATCTGGGCAGTGACAGCTTTGACAAGGACTGTGCAGATACAGCTGAAGGAAACCAGTGTAGGACTTGTTTCTCTAAGATGAAAATCATGTATTTCAAAGAAGAAATAAGAGTGATTTAAGGGTGGCTTTCAGTGAGTTGCTCTGCAGATCTGGTAACTGCTGTGGAATTGTCTCTTTCCCCATCTGTAGGAATTGGGGGCAGATTCCAATGGAGCGGTTGCATATTCCCAGGACTTCGATATACAGTATCAGAGGTAATTCACTTTTTTCACATCCAGCCAAGCAGTGACAGAGCAAAAAAAAAAAAACCCACCTCAGTAGCATGAAGCAGTATGGCAGGGTTTTTTGTGTATGAGGGTAGCAGATGCACAGAATCTGAGGTGTCTTACTGTGCTTCTTCCAGCTTTTACTTTCCCAGGAAGCAAGGACTCCAAACTGGACCTCCCTGGTTTCTGCAGCTCTTCTTTTCTTTTAAAAACCTTTATGTAATCCTTCAAAACTTAACATATATTTCATGGACGTATGAGAATATGCTCTGGTGCAAAGAAAACTTGGTGCACACCAGGAACCTCTGGGTTCTTTTGTACATGGGTTGCCTTTAAACCAGGTGAGGATGCTTTTAGAGGCCCATTGAAAACACAACTGTTGGTATCTATGAAAGCTTCAGAGAGCAGGTTTGACACTGGGAATTTGACAGATGTGGGAACAGCTGCTCTCTTATCCTCAAGCTGTTTTCTGTCTTCTGGGAGAGACTTTCAGCTTTGTGGGTCTAAAACAGTGGCCAGGAAGGATCAGTGCAGTAAATGTCACATGAGCTCTGTCTCTTTTACTTATCAAAGTTGTTTTTCTCCATCAGGGCACTTCAGGAGAGCCTTATGACAAGCTCGGGGAGCTCCCGCTGCAGCAGCCCCAGTGAACCTTCCAGCTTTGAGAAGGACTTGCAGCTTGCCATGGAATTGTCTGTCCGGGAGCAGGAGGAGCAGGAGAAGCAGCGCCAGGAGAAGGAAGATGCAGAGCTTCAGCAAGTGCTACAGCTTTCTCTTGTGGAAAAATAACTCCTCAGTGACCTCCTGAAGTAAGGATGACCAAATCCGTGCAAAACTGAAGGTTTTCGGGGCTGTCAGTCTGAAGACCACTCTTGGATTGCTTAAGGAGACATTTCACCTGCCTTCTAAGTTGGCATCAGCAGCTACAAAAAGCTGATTTATTTTTGTTTGAGGGAGTTTCAGATCACAGGACTCTGCATTTGGCTCCTCAACCATGCAGTCTTAGCTTTGAAGGAAATGCTTTTATCTAAACTTATTTATTGAAGAGCAGATGGAAGTTTTGCTTTAGCATCAGGATATAGGATTGCAGTAAAGCTTGAAAACCTGATTTTTGGGGAGTTCAGGAGGGAAACTTCATTACTTACCAAAGAAATATTCATCTGCTTCATTATTTCTCAATAATTCAAAGCCATTGCCTGTTTCTTCCAGCTGTTAGAGAGAGCATCTCCCTGCCTACACACACACGGTAGTTCTTCATGCTGACAGATGTTTTCTGTTAGTTTTGTTTATATATGCGGTTCTCTCTCCTGTAGTTACTGGGATTTTGGCACATGCTCCTGCCTAAGAGGGATAATTTTATACTTGAACAGCTCCAGATTAAACTAGTGCTTTCTGAAAAAGGGCAAAACAAGTAGCCAGTAAAATTTTAGATCCTGAAATGGGACCATCTGCCCAGTAAAGCAGCAGTTCCTGCAGTGATTCCAAACCAGCTCGTTCCCGTGGTCAGAGGGCAGCAAGAAAATAAGGGATAGATACAGGTGCTTCTTTGGGATCACTTGGTGTGTACCTGAGTGTGGGTGCTAAATGCAACCAGGAAAAGAATCCAGGTGAGATTTTAATGTGTCCTTATGGGAAGAGAAGTTTTAATTCTGTCATCTGCAAGGGAAACGTGCGTTGCTTTTTAAAACCCCGGCGCTCACCCTTCATGTGAATACATCTATTTTTTTATCTGAATATTTTTATTGATTTTAAACCAAGCCACTAGGCCTACACTCCTGAAACTGGTCTCGTAACGATTCCCAGGTCAGTTTTAACCAGCTTTCCTCAGGTTTTTGGCCATACAGGATGTTTGTAGCTCTTTTATCTGCACTTCTGTCAGTGTTTACAGTACTCACACTGTGACTCTCAAGTGCACTCCACAAGTACACGATGAACAGCCACAGGAAAGCCTTACAGTTGTTAAATGTGAGCAATATTCCTCTGCTGTGGCTGGCAGGAGTGGAGGAACCTATGGTACCCCTGCTCTGAGCTTGCTCCTAACCCCGCTCCTGTTCCTCAGGCTAAACAGGGCACTTCTGGGTGACCAGCTATTAATTAACCAGTATAAAATCACTATAAAATGGACTTGATCATAACCAGTGGGATAGTTGGTAACTTGGAACTCCATTTTAAACCAATAATCCATTGTTTTACATAGGAAATTATTAAAATTCCTTCAGTGTGCACTAGAACTGGCCTCTCCATACTGGTGGTGTCCCCTGGTACAGCTTGATTCCCTAAAACCAGCTTCCTGGGTGCTGCAGGAGTGGGGACTGTCCTGCACAGGAGCAGTGGGCTGGGTTGGAATTGCACCTTTCTTTGAAAAGGGGATTACTGTGACTCTCACAGTTGGGGAGAAAGGGAATAATCCTCGTGTTGAGCTCCTGACAAGGTGGGAAGTAGGAGATGGAACCCTGGGGGTTTCCTCCAGAGGGAATAAAGAGTGCTGTTGCCTTTACAGACCCAGCTGTCTGGCAGTGCCTGTCTTCTGTTAAGCATTTCACAGGTTACAGGAGAGGCAAAAATAATCATTTTTCAAGCTGACTTGTTCTGGGTTTATATTTAAGCTAAAATACATTGAGCACTTTCAGTTTAAGTTTTGTTATGCTACTGCTTCTTAGTCTGGGACTGTAAAATAAATGGGATTTGCTTTTGGTTTTTTTGCTTCCTATCACATTTGTATCATTCCAGCTAAACTAGAATGCCCTGCTTCCCTCACCTAGGTGCTGCTTTTCCTAAAGCCTGACTTTCAACCCATACAGTGTAAGATGAATCCTCTGTGTGTGCTGGAAATACAGCCGAAGGTACAGCACATGTTACACCACACACAGGGAATTTTTTCTAATGTGGTATCTGGATTCTGTTTTAAGAAGTATTTTGTGGCATTTTTGTACATTAAAGTGACATCATCATCTCTGAAATTCTTGAGGGTAGTTCTGGTTTAGTCTGAATCAGGCACACAATCCCCAGAATCACTCTTGAGACGTTTTTAGCCAAGTTTTGAGTCTCCCTGTCTTGAAAAAGGGGATCAGGTCAACACAGATCTAAGGCAGTGAAAGGCAGGGGATTAAGATTATTTTGTTTGCATCTTCTTGTGAGTAACAGAGTTGAAGAGAGGGTTCAGAGTATGTTTAATATTGATGCCACTATTGCTGTGTACCAGCTGAATAATACAATTTCTGAGGAAGCTGGAGGCTGACACAGCAAAGAGAAGCTCAGCACTACAAATACTTTGAGCTTGTTCTAAAACTATAACCAGCTTTAAAAATTCTTTAATCTCATGCTGTTTGCTTCTGAAAGCAGGACTGAGACTGTGCTTTTCCTTGTGCTTTTGACTTGTTGTTTCAAGGCTCTTTACGACAGTAATTCCTGATTTTCTTTATTTGGAAACCCTTCTTACACTGCTTTGGCTGAGCTTTGATTCATGACTGAACTGCTGGTAACTGCACGACGCTTGCAGGATGAGCTTTCATTGCACTGATAACAGCTCCTTGCTAACAAACATCCATGGAAAACTTCCCCCAGCACTGACCTCCCCTTCCCTCACTGCTGAGAGCAGGGTAGGAACTGTGAGGTGACCGGAGGTGGGAATAGGGGCAGCCTCCTCCCCTGTACAGTGCAGGCCAGTTAATAACAAACAGCACATCCATGAATAAATAAGAGTCTGGATTGTTTACTGAGCTCTTTATTTGTACAAAGAGGCATGGCAGGGAGTGGAGAATGAAAGCAAACAGGAATGCTGCTCCAGGGAACAAGGAGTGTGGCTGGGAGCTTCACCATCCACCCCTGTGAGCAGCACAGACAGCAGGCCAGGCTTTACAGCAGATGAAGGACTGAGAAAAATCAAGGATACAGGAATCAGTGAGCAAAAAAAAGGAGCAGAAAGCAATAGAACAATGCTGCCTTGCTTCCCTACTGTCGTTTCACTTGGATTAAGAAATCAATCTGTTCTAGGGAAGCTTCCAACTGTCATTTCACCAACCAGCAGCAAAGAAATTCCCCCATTCAATGCCAGTGGTCCTTCAACTGGAAGGGAAAACACCTCAGATGCAGCACAAGGGGTTAGAGAAAAGCTCAACACAATTGTTCTGGAAGTTACATTTTAAAACACTAAATAAATTACTAACAAAAACACCCCTATGTTAAATACCAAAGTAATAATTAGTAAAATCCAGTTACTACTCGTAGCAGTGCAAAACAAAATAGCAGCATTTGTATGAGTGGGATTCAGTGTAAACACTTGGATTTGTTACTGAAAATGCATAAATGGGTCTGGCTGGAGCTCAAACAATTCCAGAGAGCCTGAGCCTGGCAGGTCCCAGCATCTGCCTGGCTTGCAGACCTTTGGAGGCTCCTGTTCCCAGGAGGACAGTGACCAGCACGTGCTGGAAACCCTCACCGGCACCCCAGTTCCAAACAGGTTCAGCAGGGCTGGTTTGGTGTGAGGCTGTTTGGGGCTATCTAGCCAAGAGTTAAAGCAAATAGTGTTGGGAATGACAAGCCTAGCCCTGAACAGCTACACCAGGACAGGGTGTTTCTGCTCAGAGGGGAGAACGTGCCAGACCCCCTCCACCCCGCCCACTGCTGTGGTGGGTCACTGAGCCTTTGCCTTTGGACCATTTTTGATTGCTTTGGGTTGGAAGGGACCAGAAAGCTCATCCTGTTCCAACCCCCTGCCAGGGACAGGGACCCCTCCCACTAGACCAGGTTGCTCCAAGCCCTGTCCAACCCCCGAGACTCAGCGTTCAAACCAGGAACTGAAATAATGGGAAAACAAACGTGGCCGTGGCGTGACCGAGAGCGTGGAGCTGCTCCTCGGATGATGTTCTTGTGCTGACCCAGGCCCCGGGCGCCCACACGCCCCGGGGATGCTCCCGAGCGCATCCTGCAGGGCCATCCTCGCCGAAACGCTGCAATTTGGGAACAAGGGGCGTTGCTCCAGACACTCCTCGCAGCCAGCGGGGTTTGCTGCGAACACGCTGCCGGGAGCTCCGGGAGTCCCTTCGCTGAGGGCTGGGGTGTGATTTCCAGCCCCTGGACAGGCCCTCGCTGAAAGCAACGTCACGATGGAGCCGCACGATGCAGCGCGGGACAAGACGGGCGAAAAGCCACCCCCGCGTGGTCAGGGCATCGCCGGCGGCGGTGGGACAGCGGCTACCACAGGGGGGAACCAGAGCGGGGGTGGGACGGTGGGTACCAGACGGGAGAACAGGTGGGATGCAGCATTCCCTCGATGCCCCGGCAGGTCCCGCTCCGCTACCGCCGCCGCACGGGCCGGTACACGCAGATGGCCATGAGGACGATGGTGAGCAGGAGGGCGCTGAGGATGCTGCCGAGCAGCACTGCGGCGGGAAAAGAAACGGCGTTAATGAAACACTGATAACTCACTCCCGAGCCCCGGCCGGGCTGTGCCCCGTGCCCCCCGCTCCTCACCCAGGTTCTGGTGCTGCAGCACCGCGTAGGGCCGGCTGCGCTCCGCCGGGCCCGGGGACAGCGCCCAGCCCCGCGCCGCCGACAGCCCCATCGCGACAGCCGCGACACAGCACGGCCCGAGCGGCCCCGGCCCCGCCGCCCCTCGGGCTTTGTGCGCCGGGCCCGGCCCTGCCCCTTCCTGCCGCCCGCCCCGCCCCAGCTCCGGCCTTCCGGGGACCGGCCGAGGGAGCGGGGCCGGGAGTGGGATTGGGATTGGGGTCGGGAACGAGAGCAGCTCCGCCCCGCCTGTGCGCTCCGGCGCGTCCCTGAATCCCTGAGTGCAACTCCCCCAACCCTTCCCAGCTCCGTGTCCCTCCAAGCCCCATGTGCCCCCCCAGCCTCCGCCGCTGTGAAAGTGAGTTCTTGGAAGTGTTTAAGGGGCCCCAAGGCGCTGAGGAACGTCGAGGATGCACTGCGAGCGATAGGACGCGACTGGGAAGCCGCCGCAGGTGGCTGGTTCACACCAGTCCGGGGCTGCTTTACCCCGATCTAGGATTAACCTAGGATTGGTTTTAAAACGAGATATATAAAGGTCTTTAATTTTTGAAATGCCGGAGGCTGCCAGTTCTCTGGATGCCCCCGGCTCAGCCGTGATGGGATGTCAGGAAGCACCGACCTGCCCGGCTGAGGCAGCACCTGCCGAGACCCAGCCCAGGAACCCATCCCGGGGCCAGGCAATTCCTCTGCTGGGTATTGGACCATTGTAGCAGAACAAGGTGTTGGCGTGTCAGGACAGCGGCAGCCCCCGTGTCCCCCAGCCCATCCCGGAGCTCAGCCACGCCCGGTACTCCATGAACACAGAAAGGTGGGCTCCGGCTCCTCTCCCTCCAAGCATCGAGATCAGCTTTATTTTCCGTGTCACAGGACAGCTACAGACATGCACTGCTCTCACCCTGCGGGTGTGCACGGCCAGGCTTTGGGCATTTCCAGTGAGGTAATTCCTCCTCTGTCTGTGCTGGAAATCGGGGTTCTCCTCCAACCTGGGGAGTTTGGTCCCTTGGCTTCCAGCCCATGGGACACAGCGGTGGGTTCCATTCTCCCTGCTGTGAATCAGAGGAATCCCTGTAGTGGGTCCCATTCTCCCTGCTGTGGATCAGAGGAGGATTCCCTGATAGAAGTGAGAACAGGCTCCAGTCTGCCAGGACGTGCCAGCGGTGTCACTTCCACCAGGATGCTCGGGCACAGCATGGAGCTGCCGCTGGCACCGGGGGAGACACGAGGGGCAGTTTGTGGTGAGGAAGGCGGTGGCAGCTGCTCTCCTGCTGCCCCAGCAGTCCCTGTGTCCCCCGGCCATGCTGCTGCTCTACAGGACGGGTGCCAAGCCCACCACCTCTGCCCGGGGGGCTCGCGTGGTCTTCTCCGGCCGGATGCAGACGGCGAGGCGCTGAGGGAGAGAGCAGGAGAGGGAAAACACAGTGGGTTTCCTTGCTGCCATGGAGCCCTGCTCCTCTGAGTGCTTCCCAGGCAGCTCTCCCAGTGGGATTTAATTGCCACGTGAACAAAGATGCTGAGGACACATCAACCACCTGCCCAGCTCTCTGACCCATGTCTCGGGCTGACACGAGCAGGGGTCTCTGCCCACCCCAGCCCACCCAGGAGCTGTAGGATTGCCTATCATGCTCCTGACCTGCTTGAGAGACCCCGGTGTCCAGACGAGCTTGTACACCATGTAGAAGGGGATGCAGATGAAGGACGATGCTCCGATGAGGTGTCCCAGCGAGGTGCTCCACTCAGGGTACTGGTAGTCAAAGAGGGTCAGGGGTGGCTGGTCCAGGAGGGAGCTGATGACTATGAACTGTAGTGAGCAGAGCAGAGCTGTCAGGGACCTCAAATCCTGTGAGCAGGTTGGGCCCCTCACCCCAAGACAGACATTGAGAGGCTGGAGCATATCCAGAGAAGGGAATGGAGCTGGGGAGGGGGCTGGAGCACAGGTCTGATGAGGAGCAGCTGAGGGAGCTGGGGGGCTCAGCCTGGAGAAAAGGAGGCTCAGGGGGGAACCTTTTCCCTCTCTACAACACCCTGACAGGATGGTGGAGCCAGGTGGGGGTTGGGCTCTTCTCCAGAGTAATGAGTGACAGGACAACAGGAAATGGCCTCAAGTTGTACCAGGGGAGGTTTAGGAAATTAGGGAGAATTTCCTGTGCCCTGGCACAGGCTGCTCAGGGCAGTAGTGGAGTCCCCATCCCTGGAGGGATTTAGAAGCCATGTGGATGTGGCACTTAGGGACATGGGTTAGTGGTGGCCTTGGCAGTGCCGGGGAATGGTTGAACTTGATAATCTTAGAGGGCTTTCGCAACCCAATTGATTCCATGATCTCCTCAGCCCCACACTGATGGCAGCTCATCCCACGGGTTATCAGGTTAAGGGGGTGGAACGAGATGATCTTTAAGGTCCCTTCCAACCCAAACCAGCCTGTGATTCCATGATTCCATTAACACCATCCATGTCCCACTGCTACCCCCTGCTCTCCCAACCACGACAGGCCAGCGTGGATGTGTCGATGCCATCTCTCAGGCTCCCCCCCTTGCTGGGTGAGGGCTGGGGGTCTCTGTCTAACGACCCCCCGTGAGACAGTGGCCTGTGAAGGCTGCGAGTCCCCGTGCTGAAACAAGATCGTTTGCTGTCTGCTTTGATGATAATACTCCTCTCTTAATAACCAGGGCAGAGCGCTTAGAGTCATAATTAATCCTCACAAGGCCTCTTCTCCTGCAGATCCAGCGAGATTAGACCCCTCTGCCTCTTGCCAACGGCAGCCTTTGAAGTGCCGGGGGAGCTGGCATTTCAAAGGGGACGGATCCAGCCCCATGCACGGAGATGGACCTGTGGCCAGCCCTGCCAGGGACACCGTGACCAGGAGGATGGAACGAGGCTGCACTTGTGAGCATCCAGCTTTGCCCTGGAGCTGTGGAAGAGGCTGGAAAACGTACTTCCAGCTCCTGTTCTTGGTGAGACCCGCGTTCCTGGGGCCATGGGCAGCATGGCATTGCCCATGGCTGGAGCAGCAGCACAGGGAACTGGCAGGGAGAGCTGGCACGAGATCCCACAGCCCTCCTGTCCTCCCTCCTGGCTGCTTGGTCACCTCATGCAAGTGAGAGGGGAGTTATCCACGTCACAGGGAGCTGGGCAGCAGAGGGGAGAGTGGCTCCTGTGCAGGGTGTCCAGAGGGAGGAAGATGACCCTGTCTGTAGTTCTGGCCGTGGATACTCACTGCTAGCAAGGCAGGGCTGACAGCGACCCAGCACAGCTTCCAGAACAGCCCTGGGGTGAAGCCCAGCATGGCTTTGACATCGTGGGAGAACCTCTGTATCCCTGCCAGAGGAGAGAGCTGTCACAGCCCCGGGGACCCGCTGGGAATGTGGGTACGGGAACACTGACAGCCACATGGACACACCATCCATCCCCTTTCCAGGAGTCTTCCGCCCCTTAATCCCTGGATTTACTCACCTGTGTAGGGTTACACACCTGTGTAGGTGCCCATGGGATGTTTTCCATGACAGAGGCAGTTTCTTACCGTAAAACCAGGACACAGCTATGGTTTCCAGGAGCACCACTGCCAGGATGGAGCAGCCAGCACCGAACTCCTCCAGCAGCTTCACCACGTAGGCTCCCCCCTGGAGCAGCACGAGGAGGGAGGGCAGCTGCAGACCCCGCAGGGGTGAAGGAGTGGGAGTGTGGGCATCAGGGATAGGGCTGTTCCAGTGGGGCTGTTCCAGGTACTCACATAGGTGAGGGTGCTCAGGGAGCCCAGGAAAGAGACTGTGATGAGGCCGAGGACAAAGAGCTCCCGTCGCCCGGCCAGGATCTGGGGATACTCATCCATCACGGCTGTGATCACGGCCTCCAGGCCCCCAAACTGCAAAGGAAATGCTGGCATGGAGTGGGGAAATGGGATGTGGGGACAGTCCTGCTCTCCAAGAAAATCCACTCCCTCTGTGGCAGAGTGGAGATGTCCCATCCCATCCCATCCATCCCTCATCACCCTGCTGGGGACATGGCTGGGCTCTCCCTCTCCACAGAGGCACCTACTGTGCTGTCCAGCCCCAGCGTGATCATCATCAGGAAGAAGATGATGGCGAAGAAGGTGGATCCCACCATGTTGGCAATTGCTTCAGGGTAGGTGATGAAAAGGAGGCTTGGCCCTAGGAGGGGACACTGGCTTGGTTGGCTGCCCCTGGCACAGCCCCGTGTGTGGGCGGGAATGTGCTTGGGGAAGGTGCTGCTGGAGGGATGAGAACCTTTATCTCTGGCTACATCCTCCACCTCCACGTCCCTCATCTCAGCCATGTAGCCCAGCACGGTGAAGATGACGAAGCCTGAGAGGAAGCTGGTGAGGCAGTTCACTGCACTGGTGATGAGAGCATCCCTGGAGGGCACAAAGGAGGGAGATCCCCCCCTCCAGATTAGCCCTTGCTACAGTTCAGCTGCCCTGGCCACCTTTCCCCCCATCCTGTTCCCTCTTCTGGCCCCTCACACCAAAGTCATCAGTGAAATGGGGAAAGATGCTCAGCCTGCAGCCACGGGGACCAGGAGCTGTCAGGATGTGCCCCTGCTGCAGCTGTGCCCGTGCAGCACCTGTGACCACCGGGATCCGTGGCTGCGGAACTCACCGGTAGCAGTTGTTGTGGAAATGGTTGTAACTGGCCAGAGCAAGGAGTACTCCAAATCCAGGACCCAAGGAGAAGAAAATCTGTGCAGCAGCATCAACCCAAACCTGGCAGGAGGAGCGACAGGAGAATGGGCAGGGCAGGGGGTTCTTGGGGCTGGGATGGGGCTGGGAGGTGCCCCCCGGTACCCACAGCATGGAAACCCCATGGCACAGGGATGGGGGCTGTGATGGCACATGTGTCCAGACCTCGTCTCCTGCCTGCCCCATCCCCTCAGGGAATGTCACAAGGTGGAGGGAGCTGGTATCCACCCTGGGGTCCTCCAGCAGCAGAATTAAGCAGTGTCAGCTGTACTTGCCCATGCTTGGAGGGGGATGGAGTTGAGGCGAGCCCTAAACCCCCATACCCACTCCTGCCGGCAGGTTCGGTGCTGGCAGCACAGCCCTCATTACCTTTAATGAGAATTCTCAAGTGCTGCCTGGTAATTACCCACAGGAAGCCCATTGTCAGGCTGGGGCGAGA